TATGAACAGCTTCATACAATCCCATACGTTCTATTTTGACACATAGTTACCGCCTAGCGTTTTCGCGTCCGTGCGAACGCTCGCTTAAGGTTTTTAGCAACATTTGACTTTCTACTGTTTCCGACAGTACTGCATGATCAGCGTGACACAAAACACAATACAAATGGAAAAGAAGGAAACAAGCAAATCAGATTACGAGGCTTAACGGATAGAAGGAACTCGATTTTCTTGCATTTTTCTCTAGTTATGACAATTTCATATTTCAGCACATTTTTTTAGTATTCTAAGGTTATATTAAGTGTATGAATGAATTCTTCTCAATTTGAAATAATTTTAATTAAATTCAAGAGTTCACGTCTGGTCCCTTTTTACGCATTTAAATTTGTTGCCACACAGTTTTAACGTAAAAGTGATTTTACACAAAAATCATTGATACTTAAGTATAATTACTTAATCGACCTAGCCTTCGCTTCCGAGAAGGGCCTCTAACTCGACCTACAGCTTGTTGCGTAACTTTTTGGTTACAAAATAACGACATACTTATACTTCAGATACGAGATACGCGAGGCCTTGAGGTTGTAAGAAGCTTCCTATGAACTATCTTATAAAATTTAACTCAAAGCTTTTAAGGCGTAGTTTTTCGTTTTAATTTTTTTTAATTAAACATTAAGATGATACAACCTTTTTGTTTTATAATTTAACTAGCTTTCGCCCGCGACTCCGTCCTCGTGAAATTAAAAAAAAACTGAGTAGCCTGTGTTCTTCCAGACTATCCTCTACGTCTTTGCCAAATTTCATCTAAACTTTCGCATTTATAATATTAGTATGATGAAAATATATATCAATCATCCATTAATGTATAACGAGTATTGGTTTTTTTTTTTTTTTATATATATTGCGTAATCTTAAGAAATTTCTTTTTAATGGTAATTGTGATTTGTCAAGTTTTTTAAGGAGTAATTCATTTTTAATGTGACCGTTTAAAATAACAGTGACCATTCATTAATGCGACATTAGATAAGATGTCCACAGTGACACGATAAATGGAATGTTGTTCAGCGGCTTTTTAATCAGCAGTTGTTGAAGACTATTGATTACTTGTAAGTTCGTTAAAATTGTAATTCAAATTGAGAGTGAATCTCTCTGAATTCTTCATTACAGCTATAGAAATATCAAATGTACCAAAACGAATTAAGTCTAAGCGTAACGTAAGGTTAACAAGGACATGACTGAAATGTCAAATGATTGAATGCTTTGAAGATCGAAACCCGATTGTGCCGACCCTAAATATAGTGGTGCTTAAGAGCGGGCGCATCTTTGACTAAACTATTGCACAACTGTTGTGCGATTGTCGATTGTTTCACAGCCCCAACTGTTTAGTCGCACAACTAAAAATCGAGTAGTGTACGCACCTCCATAAGACTAAACAGTTGTGCGATAGTTTAGTCACAGATGTACGCGCTCTAACGGTACAAGTTTAAGGAACTCACCGAAAGACGTGGCGACATTGGTGATCAAAGCTGCCAACCCTGAAGCGATGAAGAACCTCTCCGGGGCTGGGTTGAGGCCGATCATGTAGTAGGCGATGGTGGTGAAGACGAGCGGTATGGTGGCGAACACGGGCGCCTCCGCCAGCGTCTTCGAGAGGAAGTACACATCCGCTCGGTACATGCCCGAGTGATGCTCCCGGATGAAGATTGGCAGCTCCGAACAGAACACCTATGACGTCAATGTTTTATTGTTAATATTAACTAGCTTTCGTCTTCGACTCTGTCCGCGTGGAATTAAAAAAAAAACAGTCAGCCTATGTGTTCTTCTAGACTTCTACGTATATGCCAAATTTCATAGAAATCCGTTTAGCCGTTAAGGTTACAAACTCTAACATCCATCCATCTACACTTGCGCATAAATAATATTAGTAAGATAAATGGTGCTCTCGCAAGGTCGAATTTATAATTTAAATTTCTATTTTAAAGTATGGCAGAGGTCTTTTGTAATTCATTGTCATTTTATTTTAAATTCAAAGCAGGAATCCAAACACGTTTTAATTTGTCTTTTAAAATGCATTTAGGATGTATAAAATACGAATAAATGTTTACTTAACAATAAACTGCTGCGTAGATAAGATCAAAAACATATGACTGGCGTGTAATGTGACGTCATAGCTTACGTTAATGACAGCGAAGATGTTCTGGAAGGTCATGTTGGTGAGGAACATGAAGATGGCTCCGTTGATGTTCATGACACCGTCCTGGTCCAAGTGCTGCCCGAAGTATATCACTCCGATGAGAATTGATACCATCTGAAAATTAATGTATTAAATGCAATTCCACTACATCTAAAAGGTAATAATGAAGGCCTTAAAGTAAAATTAACTAGTGTTAGTATTGCTCAAAGTCTTTAGTTTGTAAGAAAATGACTGATCTTGTGTCTGAATACTTACAATAGTCTGTAGGAAGCGGACTTTGATGAGCATCGGCTCCTTGGTGACGGAGAGCCAGGAGCGCCACAGCACGGCGCGGAACTGCGCGCACCAGCTCGCCTTGTACGGGGAGCGCCGCGCGCGCAGCGCAGCCACGCTAGACCACGGTGCGTCCGCCCAGCCGCCCGAGATCTTGCGCTAAACAAACAGTGCATAGCAGTGATAGAGCCCGCTTTATTTTCGCACTGTAGGGTTGGGTCGCCCACAGCAATACCACGACCACACAGAAGACAGGCATGAAGTGGAAGCAATTCCGAGGAAAGTCTGATGAGTGTGGTGCCGGGGATCCAACTTTAGTCCCTTTTCCTTCCCACCCTTTTTCTCATAAAATAGGATGGAAAGGGAACTTAGATTTGACGGAGAAGGAGACGCATAGGAAGAGGAAACATCCTCTTTTTGTGCGTCTCCCTCTTTTACATAACTCTTGTTCTTTTACATTCTAGCGACGTCTCAAAGTCTCTTCGTCGAAAGTTGATTTCTTTAAATGAAGGGCTAAGTAAATGATATTTGACCTTGAGAGACAGTCGGTCAAGGCGTTCCTTGAAATTACCGCAATCGTATATTTTATAATCCCTCGTTCAAATTCAATTATTCAACCTATTATTCAGTCACGCCTACCTATTATATCAATGTTACGTACACGGATGTTTCGCAAACAAATGTTCGTTTATTTTTACCTCGTGAAACATGGCGTTTTCGGCTTCATATGCGATCTTGCAGCCGATTTCTGATTTGGCGAAAGATGTGCAGACAGTGTCAATGGTGTGTTTCGTCGTCTCCTCTCGGCCTGGTATACCAGCCAGGAGTTGGATGTAGTGGTCTGCTGGGTTGTAGTTTGCTGGACACGCTGCCCCTAGGCTACAGAAAATAAGACAATGAATGTATTTCATTACTTAATTTTGATCTAATTCTACCTAATCTTTCGTCATTATCATCTACATTATTTACTCTGTGTACTTACTCTTTGAAGAACTCGGTAGCCTGGTCCGGTGAGCCGAGGAAGGCAACTCTGCCGTCAGCCATGATCAGCAACTTGTCAAACATGGCGTACAGCTCGGAAGACGGCTGATGTATCGTACATACAACTGTCTTGCCTTTCTTTGCTAGACCACTCAATACCTATAGTAAAAAATTATATAAATTAGAAAACTAGGCAAGTTTTTTTTTAAAAACTGTAGGTACAGCTTTTTATTTAATTTTTTTATAGCATTACATAATAATTAATTCTATTATGAAATTTGACGTTATGACGATATTTCGAGTTCTATGGAATTTAATAGGCTTAGAACTTCTTACTTTTGTACTGATTTCTAAGTAAGTAAGCAATTTAGCACATTATCTGTGTGATTAAGTACAAACCTGAATAACATTTTGAGCCATAAAGGAATCCAGTCCCGATGTGGGCTCGTCGCAGAACATGAGCGGTGGGTCTGTGAGAACCTCACTAGCGAAGGAGAGCCGCTTCATCTCCCCGCCAGATATACCCTTCAGACGACCATGGATGCCTATGACAGTGTTCTGGCATTTTGACAGCGCCAACTGGGGAGATAAATCTGCTTTAAACACTCTATAACAAAATTATGCTCTCAATACCACTTTGAAAGGTTACACAAAATCTTATAGCCATACTTAAGTTTTTTTATATTATTATAATACTAAAGTTGGTGAAAATACAAATTAGACGTTACTAACCTCTTGAATCACCTCTTGGACCCTTCTCATCCTCTGCGCGTAAGGAATGTGCCGGTCCATACGCACCAAAGCCTGTTACAAATAGCTGTGTTGTAATACATTTTGTGTTCACATAATTAATTTATACCTCAACTAGCTGTTGCTCACGATTCCGCCCGCGTGAATAAAAAAAACACAGCCTATGTTACACAAAGATAAAATATCTTTCTAATGGTAAAATAATTTTTGAAATTGGCCCAGTAGTTTTTGAGTTTTTCAATACATACAAAAATACAAATCTTTCCTCTTTATAACATTAGTTTAGATTATCATGGTTCCCGAGTTATGGCACATGGCAGATTACTGTATTCTTTATTGATACGAGTATATGCATATTCAGTACATATGTTGGTAAAAAATGTTATTTAAATGCAAATTTTGTTTTGGAAAATTCGCATTACAGCACATTACATAAGTTTCGATAAAAAAAATTGAAAGTCGCAATAAAAACCACTTTCGTTTTTGTTTCGAATGTCTCGAAAAATGTATTTTGCACCCAAAATGTAACTACACATGTAAATATTTAAATACTTGGCCTAAATTGATTTTATCGTAACTGGTATTATATCATGCAAAAAATCGAAATTAACTTTATATAAAAGACTAGCTGTTCCCGTGCGAATTCATGCGCATAAAATTATGAAAATTTTATTACATTTTTCAAATTCTTAATTGCAAATGTTAAAATGACATGACATGACATGATGACAACCTTGCTCCCTTGATGTTGGCATCTTATGGTCTATTTCCTACATTAGGGTTTTTACCCAAAATATTTACCCCTAAGTTTAATGGCGTTAAAATATATAGCCTAAAACGTGACGTAAGTGTAGGGCTTTTCAATAAAAAAATAATTATTCAAAAATATGCTGTAATTGCTGACATCTTAGGCAACAAAAAAGTGTGTGTATAAATATGTTAGGCTAGCTACAAATCGAGTCGTGTGTGCCCATCCTTATATACTCATAGGAATCAAAGCGAGACTAAACTGTTGTGCGGTAGTTTTTTTTTTATAACATAAGGTGGGAAACGAGCAAGCGGCCACCTGAATCCGCCAAAATGGCGAAGCAACCGCTGCCCAAAGACATTCACAATTGCAGATGCGTTGCCTACCCTTAACAGACAAGAGGAGACGCACATAAAGAGGGTATTTCCCCTTCCTATGGATCTCCTCCTCCGTCAAATCCACTTCCCCTTCCCATCCTCTCCTTATAAAAAAAGGGTGGTAAAGAGAATGGGAGTTAAATTAGGCCTCCGGCATTTCACGCCTGTCTTCTATGTGGTCGTGGTATTACACCGGGCGTGCCGGCCCTGCAGTGCTAAGATGTTACAGCGGGCACTACCACAGTTAAAGGTTTACTCAAAGGTGTGTGCGTCCCAAGTTGGCCTAACCTGTTTTAACACTATAGTAAAAATATAATAGTACTTGCGTGTTCGTTGCAAATAATTGTTTAATTATTTCTTAGTATGTGTTTACTATGCAATTTGTCATGGACGTAAATAATAGGTACACGTTTCTCATTTAATTTTAATAAGCCTAGAAACTCGTTTTTTACTTTACGCTATGAAAAGGTTAAAAATATTAAAATTATCTTTAACATACTAAATTATCTATAACCATGAAGCAACTGATAAGTTATGATTAAAATAAATTAACTGATTTTTATAAATTTTAGGAAATTAAAAAAAAGCTAGTTGATGAATTCCAAATATGGAAATGTTTAGATCTTAAAAATAATAATATATTTAAAGGTAAGTGTATTACTAATATAATCTACTAGCTTTTACCCGCGACTCCGCATGGAATTAAAAAAACATAAGTGAGTAGTCTATGTGTTCTTCTAGGCTGTACCAAATTTCATCCAAATCCGTGCAGTCGTTTAGGCTACAAACTCTAACAAACATTCAACCATTCATCTAAACTTTCGCATTTATAATATTAGTATGATATAGTAAGTATTATAGTATAGTAAGATTCATTCTTTGTTAAATATTGAATCGTTCATTCTTCAATTCAATTTCACATTCATTCACAAAATCATACACTTTAGGTAATCTTTTTCAGGTTATGTTAGTCACATATTGGTAACTAAATATTTATTGGAAGATATACATTTATTGTTATTTGATACACTGTCTTGTGTGAAATATTAATCCAAATGGTAATAAGATGTTATTTCATATCGCTTGTAAACTGAGGAGCCTAGTTTTGGTCACATAATCAATTTCATTAATAATTTACATGCCAGTTTACAACTTCAAAAACGAACAACTCAAAATTTATTTTGAAAAAGTTGACAAGTTTTATACTTTGGCCACTGCCACAAGAGGTCACTAACTCTTTTAGTAATCTTGAATTTAAGCTTTGAAATCCTACTAAATATTATCAACTAATCATGTTTTTAATAATCACCGTAAAAACACTTTAGTTATAACTACATACTCGTGAAACTTGTGCCCATCAAAAATAACGAAGCATCCGTTTTTAAAAAACCGGAATAGCCGGGATCGTGCATAAAACAAATCCAATAAAAAGTCGAATCCGGACCCAATTTCGATGGTTCTTATCGCGGTTTCAACAAACCTGTCTTGTAAAATACCCTCACTTGAACTTTTAACTGTATAAATTACAGCATGGGATGTTTTATTTCTACTTTTATGAGAAAAGGGAAAAATACGACATAAAACAATTACATACCACTGATTTTTAGTTTTTAGACTGACCAATCCGCAAGGCGGTTTGGCGGAGCAGGAAATTCCGGGAGAAACGCAACGTTGTGGAATGCCAGCTATCCATATATTAAATGCAAATTGAATTGGAATTTATAAGAAACTTAATTGACAACCACGTCATTTCAGACCCACAATCGACTGATGTCGTTGGTTCGTTGGCCATAAGTAATGTTTACGGTGTTTAGATAAGCATATATTATGTGTTGAAGTACCCTTTTTCACACCTACACAAAATGTATAATGTTACATTAGTTTTAGTACAAATAGTAATAATAAAGAAAACAATAAAATATCAAAACCTTTTTGACCAGCTTCTTTTCTTTTCACGTATTAAATTAATTCCTTCTGAATATTAGGATATCATATTATTCAAATACGAAACTGGACATAAGAAAGATTTTTATCTAATCGAATGAAAAACTTGATTAGTTACGATGCTTTGAACATAGACAAGCCAGATTCCTAAATATGTCTTAAAGTCAAGGTCCTCTGACCGGTTGGCCGTTGGCAGGACTTGACTACATTTGATTTGAGTTTTAGAATAGATTTGTAACTATTATTCTATTTCTAATGCAAATTTACTTGCACATGATGCCATATAAAATATTTAATTTTCATTGGCCGCTAATCTGTTCTTTGCGGTTTAAAAATTAGCTGACCTTACTCTTAACTAATGTTGAAATCAATTTACATTATACATACTACATCTTCCGGACTTTAAAATCCTTTCAGACTTCATTAACAAGAATTTTAATGAGCCAATTAAACTTATTACAGAACGTATGTAAGTACAAGTGAAAGGACGACGTGAGACCGCCAGAGTTTTAAAGCCTGACACGTGACAATCGAGACATAAATCAACAAATTAATGATTTACATCATTTACTGTCGGCACAAACACACACAAAAACATCACTATTTCAAGATTTACAAGGAGAACAAAAGAGATAGACTACTATACTCTGGTCATTGTATGAGTAACGGCAATAAAAACCTATTATATTATTACCTGGAAGATGAGATGCTCTCGCACTGTCAGTGTTCCAATAAACAGATCCTGCTGTTGTACGTATGCTGACAGAGCGGTCAATGCCTCGGGTGTCGCAGGCTGGCCGTTGAGGGCTCTAGTACCGCTGGACACAACGCCGCTGGGCGTCCTAAATGTCAGCGTGTTGAGAAGCGTCGTCTTACCAGCGCCCGATGACCCCATGATAGCCAGCAACTCTCCGGGGTAAGCCGCGCCATTTACTACATGATAGAAAAAAACAAGTTCTTTACATTGATGACGTAAGCGATCAATTTCATTTCTTAATTCAGAATTCATCTATTGACGAAGACATTATTTTTTAAAGCAGTTTCATGTTACATACATGAGTCTACAACCGCAAATAACCGCATTGCGGTCGCCACTTATTAAAAACCTCTTGTTAAAATTGTTTTGACATACATATAGACCGTCCGCATACCTGAAACTATACTATCGCACTACTATATAGTAACTAAACAGTTGAATTGGCTGCGAAACAGTAGACAACAATCGCTCAACAGTTGGACGATAGTTTAGTCAAAGATGAGCGCCCGCTCTTAATTGTAATTACTACTTACGAAGAAAGAACTTACCGCTTCTTAATAATTGTTTTCGTTGCTGGAACATTCTATCAGATGATGGCTTCCAGAAGTTCCAAAACTTTTTATCTCTAGATCTAGACTCTGTGGCGAAGGCGTTGACATCTGCCCAGGTGTAGGTAACCTTCTCCGTGCCACCGATGGCGCCGTAGTTGCGAGCCTGAGGTATTGCCAGTGTAACCTCTCCGCCGCTCGTTCTCGGTGAACCACTCGGTGTGTTACCATCCTATGAACAATTTGATACGTAATTATTGACGAAGTTCTTAGCGTCCGTTCTTAGTTCAAAAGATCTTGAAGTACCAGAACATAATATTATTATCAACTAGCTTTCGCCCGCGACTCCGTTCTCGTGGGATTTAAAAAAATCAAAAGTGAGTAGCCTATGTGTAATTTCATACCATCCTCTACATCTGTACCAAATTTCCTCGAAATCGGTTCAGCCGTTTAGGCTACAAACTCTAACAAACATCCATCCATTTATCTAAACATTCGCATTTGTAATGTTAGTAAGATGTAATTTCGAAGAAAATTTGGGCGGACCAATCGCGACATATTTATGTTTTTAAAAAGTAACATTCTACTATTTTTCCCACAACTTCAAAAAAGTAATGAATTCATCTTTCCTCAAACGATAAAAACAAAAAAACTGTAATTATATTTATAGCACGACAAAATAAAACCTGGTCGTTTGCATTTTTCGAAAAAAGATTGCCTATTTATAGATTTTATGAATATTTTAAAGGCTTTGATTCATTCATTAGTTTTGAATACAGTTTCCTAGTGCTTTATTTAAGCTACGTTTTTTTTTTTAATTTGTTATGGTATCATTCATATGTTAAAATTCATTTAAATTTTTTTTATCATAACAAAAAATACGTATTTTCACACATAGAAAATCATTACGGTAACGTGTTATTCTTATTAAAAGTACAATCAAAACAATTAAATAAAATATTTTTAAGTTAATATAAGAAGGGTCTTATAGTATAATTTATCATGTCCACTTATCTACCAACTTTTTTACTCGGGGATATGACCTCCACAAATTTACATAAAACCATCATTATCATAGTTAATTAATTATCTAGAATTCGCCTGCGACTCCGTCCATGTGGAATAAAATAAAACAAAAGTGTGTAGCCTATGTGTTCTTCCAAACTATCCTCTACCTCCATATCAAATTTCATCGAAATCCGTTCAGCTGTTTAGGCTACAAAGTCTAACAAACATCCATTCATCCATCTAAACTTTTACATTTATAATATTACAAGCTTTCGCCGGCGATTTCGTTCGTGTAAGATTTAAAAAAAAAACTGAGTAGCGTATGTGTTCTTCCAGACTATCCTCTACATCTATGTCAAATTTTATTGTAATCCGTTCAGCCGTTTAGGCTACAAACTCTAACAAACATCCATCCATCCATCTAAACTTTCACATTTATAATATTAGTACGAGTATTATTAGTATGAAGTATGATTGCTACGCTTTCTACCTCAAGGTTTATTTGTTTTAATGATAAAGGTATCATTCTTCGTTTCTATTGAAAATTTACTTTTAGTAAATAATTACAGACAGTGTGGTTTTAAACATATTGCCCATGTTAATATTTAAAGGATTTTCGTTATTTTGTTAAAATTGTGACAGATACAGTTATGCGACAAACATATTTACAAGGAATTTTTAGTGTTTAGTTTGTCTATTCTTTAAGATTTTGATTTGAATCAAAAAAAAGTAAATCGACATTGTTAAAACTTTCATCATCCACTTGCCCTTATCCCTTACGGAGGGTCGGTACAGTATATGCTGCTCTTCCATACATCTCTATCAGCCGTCATATCTGAATCCACTCCTTTCTTTAGCATATCCTCTTTCACACAATCCATCCATACTTTCTTCGGTCTTCCTTTTCCTTTGTAGCCATCCACATTCATTACATTGTAAAAACTTTATTTTATCGAAATATCTGTGCATAAGGAATAGCTATCTCAGATTTTTCAAACAGAATGAAAGAGATGACAATACAATATGTGTTCATTGGAAAGTTGATATCGTCTACAGTGGAAATCGACGCTTACCATCATACTATTTTTGGATAGAACTTAGTTGACTGAATTTACATAAAAGAGAGGTCGTGAGAGATAAGTTAGTAGTTATCCAAAAATGTCTTAAAAGTTTTTTTACTCATGTATCATTTACTTTAGACATAAATGCAGTTTATCATTCGCCAACAATAAAAATCTTAGATAAAAACGTGCAACTAAAATTACTGATTTCGTTATTGTCGTGGATTTTTTTAATAATTTTATGTATTTTCATAACTTACATTTGCAAAAAACATTATTTTAAATATAGTAATAAGAAATATTGATATTTGTTGTATAATGATACCTTGATTTTCACTGTCAAAGCATAGATATAACAATCTCTCTCAAGAAGAAGAAAGAAGATGGCCATATGATTTTGTATTTCGCAAAGAAACTCACAACATAAAACTTAATTCTTTTTATATTCTACTCTAATTCCACATTATTTTAATATAGTTAACTACTATTGCATTGCTATAAAGAACTAGCCATTCGCTCCTGGTTCGCACGGGCCCACGACTAATACGAGAGTGTAATTGTTTACGATATTAGATACCTCTAAATAATCATTATTTCTTATTATGTATGTAAACCTTTTAAATCACTTTGGCTATTTAGAAACTGCATTCAAATCCGTTGCATAGAAAAGATCGAAAACAAAGCATATATCTTATCCATTCCGAAATGAGTATATTAGAGGAAGTTTGAGAGTAGCTCCAGTAGTAGAAAAAGGTAAGGAGTAAAAGTTTAGCATGGTATGGCTTATGAGAAGGGACGAATCGCATGTTACAAGGAGAACGTTAGTTATAAGTGTGGAAGGGTACATCCGTAGAGGTAGACCTAGAAAAAGATAGATGGATTGCGTAAAATGTGACATTATCAAGAAGGGATCAGATCAGACTGAGATGATATATGATAGAGTTATGTGGAGAACGATAAACCTGTTGTGCTGACCTTACGGAAGTAGGATAAGGAGAAAGATGATGGTGAGTTTTAAAGATCTACGCATACACAGGGAAAGACAGTGGGCAGCGATTGAATTTATGTAGTGAAGTTTGAATGCTAAAAAGTGAGGTATAGCATAATTATTTATGTTGAACTATCGCCCCCCGCGGGTCAAAGAATGCCGGCAAAATCACATTAACTGAAACCGGATCCTTTACTTAGGCTTCTCCGGAAAAGGTACGCGTCTGTCAGTGCTAAAGTTTTTTAAATTAGCTTCATTATATTTGGTTTTGATTAAAAAAATTTTAGATTGTTTTACAATTATTAGTTATCAGCTTTCTAATTAATTAGTCATTTTCCCGTTTACGTTTTAAATATTGGTAAGATAGTGTCCTTAAATGATTATTTCTGCGCTACGTAAGAAATAAAAATACATTTAGATGTATTTTTATTTCTTACATTACAGTTATTATTTCCATTAACTCGAAATTGCTACGTTACTATTGGACCGATTTATAAATTAATATACTATTGGACAGCTACATATTTTATTACCAGATTATTTTTAATACGCACAGCAAAGTCGCGAGCAACAATTAGTCCAGTTTAAGAGACTTTCTAAGACTTAGTTTTTAGGACTTGACATAAATTCGATACAAAACCGCAGGAGTATTTCGAGGTCGCCGAACCGATATTAGGTTAGTATCTGCCGGTATTAGGTAATAGCCGGGGTATTAATGATCGGTAGTGGGTAGTGACCGGCGTACCGCACATATCGCATATCACCAGCCGACGAAACTCCGTCGGACCGTGGACCTAATAGATATAATCTGTACTGCGGCGGGTTTCGGAAGCCGTCCAAATACTTTAATGTCTATTGTAAAACTATTTACGACCTCGTTCTATTTAACCTTAACAGTATTACAATGTTATGAAGTTTAAAGTAATTATTGCCTGCATTTATATTCAATAGAAAAATCAAATCTTAAACTATACTATTATAATAAAGCGTAAACACACACTACTTTGTTGCCTAAGATGTCAGCAATTACAACATATTTTTGAACACTTCTTTTTTTTTTAATAAAAAAAGCTCTACACTTACGTCACGCTTTAGGCTGTATGTTTTCAAACCATTAAATTTAAGGGGTAAATATTTTGGATAAAATCCCTAATGTGGGACAGAAACCATAAGTTGCTGCAAACATCAAGGAAGCAAGATTGTCGAGGTTTTGTCATGTTATGTCATTTTGACATTTGCTATTGATAATTTGACAAATGTAAACAACAAAATAAAGTTTTTATAATTTCATGCGGATGAAGTCGCACGGGAACAGCTAGTCGGAGATAAAATTCGACTTTTCATGCGAAATTCAAAATTGGACAAATCGATAGGCCAGGTTGACCAAATATTGCTATTGAGATCCGTAGATCAGTTTATTTTAAATGGAATGTATTAAAAAATCTTCAATAAGCAAAAATTGTACAAAATCGATTAGGTTATCGAAGTCAACTGTAAAACCTAAGGTGACAATTGAGTGTGCAACCGCAGAAAATTTTAAAATATCAGTATTTAGTTTCGTGGGGCGTTCATATTGTGACGGGGAATATTTCCCACGATATTTTTACGTTTAGCATTGCTTATTTACATATTTTAATATTCCACTATATAAAGCTGCATACTAATTCAATAACTTTAGTGATGAGTTAAGAAATTAGGGAGGGTTCCGTAAACAGACTTCGTATCAACACCAATCAGAAGGGCCTCCCTGAAGAGAAGACTAAGAAATTTCTTATTACTGTTAAGATAAATGTTCTTATTTCATTTTTTCTTAATTTAAATATAAATGTTGTTAAAAAATAAATAAAAAAAAGATGCGATGCCTATAAACCACGTAAGTGGTTTGGCGGGTATGACTTGTGTCTTATGTATGTATATTTTGGAAATAAAGAATAAAAAAAATGCATCTTTATTATCGATCGATAATGAGATAGTAATTTTATTTACTTAAAAAACAATAAAAAACTCAATTGTAAATTTATTTGAGCAGTTGCTTATTTCAATATGTGGAATCTTGAAACTGGTTGGGTATTTTTTTAATCTTAAAACTATTAATTGAATAGATTATTGAAATAAACTGATCTTGTGTTAATCTTGATATTTTATTCATCTATTTTTTATACGGAACACAAACTGGTATATTTTTATGATATTTGTTTTGCTAGATTTGCATAAAAACCGCTAAATAGCTTAGCAACTGTATCAGTATTTCGTATATCTTCGTGAACCATAAAAAAAATTCCATTAGGTCCGGCGTAAGTCACTGTGTAGGTTGCTGTTAACGATATATAAAAAAACAAAGTTAATTAAAGACGACATACACGTTTCTTATCTACTGGACACCTTTTGATTTTGGTCAAATGTATTTTGGACGAGAAGGGTTGTGCCCTAAATCTAAAAATAGTATTTATTGTTTCGATTAAATAGAATATTTGGCAAGTTATTTTCATTATAGCATTTCAAAGAATAAAAATAAACTAATTCAGAATAAAATTCAATTTTAGTGGAATAAATACGAATATTATAAAGAAGAAAAAAATGCATCTTGTGTATTGGATTGAGTTAAAATATACTGGCTCGATTTTCAAAAGCTTTAGCCCAGGATTCTGTTCTCGTAGAATTAAAAAAAAAACAAAAGTGATTAGCCTATGTGTTCTCCCAGACTATCCATTTACACCAAATTTCATCGAAATCCGTTCATCCGTTTTGGCTCCAAACTCTAACAAACATCGATCCATCAATCTAAAAGTTCCCATTTATAATATTAGTTTGATTAGAAACTTACGTGATCCCTAACATATATGTTTTTATTTTTTCAAGGAGGAAGTCTAGCAACCGTTAATTTATAAGAGAAGAGTAAAATAAGAACGATTTACGTGCACTTTAAATCTAAAGACGTCACAATCGGTATTAGGCAACAGGAAATTCACTATTACGATGAATAGGCAATGATGAGACTGGTCCATTTAATGTGAACCATCGCCGTTTGACTTGCTAAATGTATACCTTGGACCGATTGTTATGTTTTTATTGTAGTCAAACTAATAAATATAAAGGAAACAAAACTTACAATAGATGAAAACATGTATTTTTTAATAATAATAATATTATAAATGCGAAAGTTTAGATGGATGGATGTTTGTTAGAGTTTGTAGCCTAAAGGGCTGAACGGATTTCGATGAAATTTTTAAGGATGTAGAGGATAGTCTGGAACACATAGGCTACTTTTGTTTTTTTCAATTCTTTTAACTACTTTAAAAGGTACTGATTGGTACTTTTAATTTAAAAACGATGTCATTAGGCATTATGATTTTTTAACGACATTTTTAATTAAGTTTTGTAAATACATTATGAGTTAACCTGTCATTAAAATAGTTTATAAAATAGACGTATTCATTCAGTATTAATTTTTCACCCACTAAAACTTTAAAGCGATCTTATTTCTGAGTATTAGAGCTTCGGTAATAAAAAAAACTCGTTCCGTGAGTTCGGTCCTATTCACGGTCGGGCCACTGACTTGAAATGATTATATTAAAATATCTAAACCAGAACTATTTGAATCAATTTAACCGAGAAACGTTCTCGACCTATTTTGAAGATGGCCAAATTATTAAGACATAAGTTTTCCATGTGAGTAAATCATCAGTAGGAATTTTGGATTATTTATAGGCAACTTTGAAATGAAAAAAACGTGACTTTGGTATATTTTTAACGGTATTTAGTGACAAACTTAAGTGTGTGTGTTCGGGTTTGGTAGCGTTGTTTTAGAACACAGTGAAACTGAAATTAGGTTCGAAACGATTACTGTAGTAAATGTAAATAACATCTAACTAGAAAGATCTTACGAAAACATCTTATCTTCATGTAAATATTCAACATTCCGCAACAACGTGGGACGTTGTAAGCCGTTTTCTTACAATGTATCAAGTGGTTGTATGCCAAGATTCTACCTTAATTCTTATACACAGTTAGAAACCCTGTCCCTTAGGACACTCTTAGTGTAGGTTAACATACTAAATCTACAGTTATCGCTCTTTACTTAATTATTATACACAATAGTAACTAATTACTAACTCAATCATACTTCATACTATCATTATAAATGTGAAAGTTTAGATGTATGGATGGATGTTTGTTAGAGTTTGTAGCCTAAACAGCTGAACGGATTTAGATGAAATTTGGTGTAGATGTAAACATAGTCTGGAAAAACACATAGGCTACTCACTTTCGTTTATTTTTTAAATCCACGCGTACGAAGACGCGGGCGAAAGCTAGTTTTAATTAGTTATAGTCACTTGTATTCATCAGCCATGTATAGCAGACGACTAAAATAGAATAAATGGAAAATTTTCCGTGAGTTTAAACTTGTTTTATAATAATTATTATTTCGTTGCGACGTTGTTCCGGTCCCAACCTTGTGGTTACAAATAAGCTTGTTAGTTACTTTTACATGTTGTGAAATATTAACAACCAGTTAAATATATAGTGATATCTACTTTACACAAATGTCCTTTAAACCAAGTTTACCAAATACAGAAATGTATTTAAAATTAAAAGCTTTTTATGTTCTTAAAACAAATGTACACGTATACAAATCTAAGTACCTTAATTGCCATTTATCTTTACCATTATAAAATAATGAATAAAGCTAGTTTGTTTATTTCAAACTAGCTTGTTGCTTGAGATTTCGCGTGAAATTAAAAAACAATAATAAACGACCTATGTTATACACTGATAACGTAGCTTTTTAATGGTGAAAGAATTTTTGACATCAGCCCAGTTTTTAAGTTATTTCAATACATACAAAAATCCAACAATACAAATCTTTCCTCTTTATAATGTTAGTATAGATATAGAGAAGTAAAGCTAGTTGATATTAAAATATCGACAATGTTTTGAGTTTATCTTTCGCATAGGTTATTATTTAATTGCCGGAGCGAAGTCAGGGCAAACGCTAGTAAAAACTTAATGTATGAAAAGTAACAATTTTTTACCTATATCTTTTCATAAGCTTGAGTTAAGTAACTAAAAGAATGATTTTCTTAAAACAATAATAATTATGTAATGTTTTTTAGTAAACGTTGTATAATATCTAATTTGATTACAAAATTAATTCCACAGAATAGTTAATTATTTTATTATACTATTAATATATGACAAATGGCTTTATTCGACGACCACGATTGGAAATAAAAATAACTTATTAAAACATCCTTGAAATAATGCTTGAAAATTATCGAGTATAATAAAATATTATAGATCGAGTCGAGCAATATACGTAATTTGCAATTCTAATTCGTATAAAATCAAGTTAACAATTATCTGTTCACATCTATGGAAACCTGTTTAAAATATTACATAGAAATATACTCCTCTTGAATAAACTGGGAACTCTCAATATAAACTATGAAATGCATAAATTTATGCAAGTCAAACAAAATAGATAACAAAACCAATGAATGATTGAAAAAAAAAGTAGTGTAGCAGTAAAAGCTAATATATGTAAAAAGATTCCTTAAATAATAATACAAATTACTCACCTGAGGCGAATTATTATACGTAACCCGCTGATTATCCACAGAAGAAGAAATCAGAGGTTCATGTTCTTCCGATCCGGCAGTCATTTTGAATATTAATTTAATTTAATTTTAACAAAACAGTTTAAAAATCCAATTAATTTATCACAATCATGTTAACACTAGATCATTTAAAATAGCTACACTTTAGTATATTTTGTGGTTTTATTTAATTTGGCGGGAAGCGTTGGAAAAGCGCGGGAGCCTCGCACGGTATGCGCTGTACTGCGTTCGTTCACCAACTGGCTGTATTCTTTGCGTCGTTCAACATTTCTCAAACCATCTCTTTGTTTTAATTACAATTTCTATTTGTTCTGTGTCTCAAGCGACTCTTGTTTATTTTGTGATAATTAGGTTATACTTTATATTAGTTGAGATGTTTTCGTTATTACGTTTAAATTAGCTTGTACAATGTCAATTGAATCGTGAGAAGTTGATATTTAGATGATATCTACTATTCTAAGTAAATCACTTATTTAAATTATTTCTCGTCCCTTTCCTAATGAGTGCTGAGGAACACCAGTAGAGGTATGACTAGAAAGAGATGGACAGATTTTATGAAAGGCATGATTAAAAACTGGCATAACTAGAGGATAGATAAGGTTAAGAGATAGGTTTGGGGGATGATTGAGATGAAAGATTGTTAAGATAAGCGTGTATTAAACGGGTATATGGTAAGATGCGGGTATTTGGTGTCGTTATTTTCTTGTCGTCCTTTTGGTAGGAAAATTGTTCTATCATACTAATATTATAAATGTGAAAGTTTAGATGGACGGATAGCTGTTTGTTAGAGTTTGTAGCCTAAACGGCTGAATGGATTTCGATGAAATTTGGTATAGATGTAGAAGATAGTCTGGAAGAACATATATACTACTCTCTTTTGTTTTTTTTTTAATATCACGCGGACGAAAGCTAGTAGATAGATAATGAAACAAAATATACCTGTACGTAAACGTTTATTCAAAAATCATATTGGAGATAGCAAATAATTATTCAGTAAATTATTTATACAATAAAATGAAATATCCTTTATTACTTTAGTTATTCGTATGATTAAATGACACATGATAAAGGAACTATTGTATCGTAGACTTGAGATGACATGACCTATATGCCTTTTAATATGGCGACATTTATATAATCCCTTAATATCTAATTCACAATATCGCCTAAGCTTTCACTCGAAATATTTGGTGTTTTCCCTACCGAAACAACTACAATTTCTATCAAAAAGTCATATATGCAGATAGTGTAAATTAAAACCGCTACAAAATACTTATTAAAAACATTGGTGATATCTGCTACAAGCACTCGACTATCGACTTTAACATAAATAAGAATTATATTTACATTGCACTAACAAAGATCGGAGTCACTTATAATGTATAAAACTATATTACGGTAATAACTTAGCACTTTAGGAAGCATATTAGGTTATACTGAGCCCTTTTACGTTTAATGTCTTCAATAACTAATTCATTACAAACAACATATAAAGGTAGGAACACACTATGTAAAAGAGCGTTAAAAGCATGCTGCTTGCATACATTTTGGTACAAAAAAAAACATTAATTTTATATCTTGAGGCGTCTAAATATTCTTAATGTAATGTATAAAGCCGATATATTCTATAAAAAAAATACAGTAGTGTGTTCCTACCTTTATAAAATTATATCAAAGAGTAAGTCTGAAACAGACTGAACCAGTGTCTACAAAACTCTAACTGACATTAAAAAAACAATTTATCTTTGTCATATTTTATCCGGAATATTATTTAAATAGTAATAGCTGTTTTTTTTTTATTGTTTGAGTAACACTGGTTTGTAATTCAGGGAATAATTATCAACTATTTGTAAGGTTTATCTGTATAAGTAAATATAAGACAATTTGTAATTAATATATAGAATATATTTTTTAACACTATTCGGAAGCTATTGTTTACTTTCGGAAGTGTATTGGAATAATGCAAATTCTAGAATACATAAATTCTACTTTAAAATTTGGTTAATCGATTTAAATCGTTTTTTATATATATTCGCTTTTTATATTACAGCAATCTGGTGACCTTAATAAAGCAACAATATATACACAACCGGAGTAAATTTTACACGGATATATGTGCGTTGTTATATTTAAGCATATATATAAATGAAAATAATCATAATTTGGAGGTTTCTGTATTTATAATATCGTGACAATTGTCGCAATGTAATTCACATAAATTCGATACTGTCAATACTTTTGTCAAATCAGATGGCGGCCATTTTGAAACCATAGACAATCGTGTTAAAACTGTCAGAACATAAATTTACTATTTTATACAATACTTAAATATAGGCACATAAAATGAAACAATGTTACTATTAATAATAATAATGCAATCAGTCTGACACATTATATTTGGCAGTGTATTGGATAGCTTTATTAATAATTATTATTTCAAGCCAAATAGCTTAATAACGGCAACGTTAACACACCGTCTGATATCTTTGATATTTGTGTTATTTAGGCGCACACTTATGATTAAACTATCGCACGACTGTTGTGCGATTGTTTCGCAGCCAATTAAACTGTTTGCACAACTAAAATTCGAATAGTGTTCGCAATTCCATATAAGATCATAGAAATCAAAGCGTAACTAAACAGTTGTGCGATAGTCTAGTTTCAGGTGTGCGGATGCTCTAAGCAAAACTTAAGAGCACTCCAGACTATAGTCCCAATAAATATAACTCAAGGGATTTGATGAAAACTTTGAAGGAGCAAGTTTTTTAGATCTGTTTTTTGTTAACTTAAGAGCAAAAACATTTGAATACAGTGGGACCTCTATAAGTTAAAGTCCAAGTGAAACACATAATATTTTAAGTTATAGAGGTTTTAAGTTATCAAGGGTCTATGTTGTAGAGGTTTTGGGCTCTGATGGGAAGGGAACATATTATTTTTTGAAGTTACAGAGGTTTTTAAGTTACCGGGGTTTGAGTTATCAAGGTTCTACTGTAGTATATCAGATTTGTCCATCGCTCAAACACTTTATTTAAAATTTTTCCTAGCAAGAGTCTGGGCAATCCTACGTTTCTAACATAATGTAGTCATTGTTGATAGTTTTCCAGACTTATTTATAAGCATTAAATTAATATTATACACAAACAAGTTTTAAAAAACTAAATTTATGTTGCAAATTAAATATCCAAACATCCTATATACAATATACATTTGAGCAAAGAAAAATTTTAATCAATTTAAACAAAAATTTTGATTATCATCGATTACAATGACAAAATAATTACAATTTTTGATACAAATAAAATATTTGTATTCTTACAAAACCCTAAAATAAATTACTTTTATTTAATAATGTCTTTCAGTTAGAACTTTAACAATGACCAATAGCACTTTAAAACCAATTTTTTCGATTCATCATTGGTCAAAATTAATACAAGAGATTAAAAAAAAATTAAAAACGTCCTTCGAAACAAAAATCTCAAAATTAAGTTGAATTCTGTCAAAAATAAAACTTTTTTGTATGATAGAATTTCAGTATAAATTGTAATTTTTTTCTAGAATATATTACTGTAAATGTTTAACGAAATTGTTAATTTTTAATGGATATTAGAACTTTTAAATTGTAAGAAGAAACTGCATATTTCATTAGTCTAATAACACTAAATTTTACACATAGATACACCACCTATAGATATCTAATCCAAAGGCAAAAACGCCTCGAGACCTTTTCCCTCAGTGTTGCCATCTACAATACAAAATTTACTCGACATTAAACATCAAACGAATACCAAACATTATCTATAGATTATATATCTATGTATATATTCATTTAATTGTTTAGTTAATTACTTACGAAACATTTCACAATACAGCATATAATTGAGAAGACATTATGTGTAACCTAACGCATTTACCTAATCGTTTTATGACTACATAATTAGCTAGCAATTTCATAAATTATACGAATCAGTACAAAAACTACAATACACATAATTATGTTATATACATTACATATACTTAGACATAAGTTGTGTTATGTCTATTACTCTGCTATTTATTTAACAAAAGGTGACTGTTTTCATTATGAATACTCAAAACCACACCATGTTTTTTTTATAGAAAATTATATACGGGCTGTATACTGAAACGAATCTTAACAACCTTACAATCTAACAGCTGTGTAAATTTTAGTGGATTTTGTAGCTTAAGCGTGATCCTTATTTACGACGCTGTTACATATTTAAATGTCGTTTCAGTAATTGGTTGATATCGAGAAAATGACGCACCGAGTGTTCTTAGACCTCCGACAAGGGTCCATTTATCTCGACCCCCGAAGATGGTAAAATAGTGTTATACATTTTAAATCGATCTCTTGAACATAGCAAAGAGCCAAAAACTGCACTTAATGAGGCGTATTGCCATCACTTTGACAAAAGAGAGAATATTTTTTATAGGTTATTAAAGCCTACATTATTATCGATACATAATAAATATCAAGATTACAAGTATGTGGATATTTCGTCTCAGTTCGCTGACACGTGACCAAAGCTTTTAATCTTGACGAGATAAAAAACATACCTGCTGTAACCGGTTCCTACTCCAATAGGGTGACCATTTTTAAATTTTAAGAATATTATACAAAATAATTTATAAATTAATATAAAAGCTATATAATAGTATGTAACAAATAGAAATTAGGGTAAAAAAATAGACCACATAGTGATGTAAAACTCGGACGCATGTTATAAAGAAGTTCTTTAATATGGGAAAAGTCTCTTTAAATCAAATGTAAATGGTCACCATAATTATAATGCATTAAGACGCCACAAGGTATGTTCTTATGACCAGTGAAATAATTATTAGTGTAAAAAAAATGGTTGAATGCCCTCCATAGGTAACTCCACCTTTAGAAAAAGATTTTTTTACTCTTGTGAAAGGTGTGAATTAGTTTCAATACTACTGTCGTTTTTTTGAGAATTGCAAGTAAACCGTTTTGAATAATTTCCGGATAAATAAAATCGTAATATGTTAGAGCCAAAGATCTCAAAACGATATCCAATATTTTAATACAAAAAGTCTTGTTGACATCATATTACGACCTTCATAAAGAAATTTCATTAATTTTTTACCTCTTTGCTGTACATTTGCGTTGTTTTTTCATCACTTGTAAAACCATCTTGTTATTAAAAGTTCATTGGCCAGTTCTCTGATATCGATATTGCATCTTTATTTTACAAATTTAAAAAATGATTATTTTTGGATACAATGTGTAACTATACTTGATTAGTAGAATTATTTTCTTATTGAAATCCATACAAATGTAATATCAAAAGAAAAAAATCCATATTTCGTGAAAATTATGCTATTTGCGTTGCTGATTACGAAAATCACATTTCAAATTTTTTGTCTGTCTGTCCGCAAGCCGTGTTTGTTCCGGGTAATCTCCCAAACTGCTGGGCCGATTTGGACCGGAGTTTCACTGAACCATATTATAGGCTTTTGTTTAATTCCATATGTTTTAAACAAGCAGCAAGTAATAGACATATCACATATCTTAAAGGTAATGACAATATACCTGGTAGACATCTATTACTGAGCGACATTCTTACAATTAAATCTAAATGCTTCTCCACTACACATTTCAAATATCTTGGCTGCTCAAGACACACTAGAGTTACCTAAAGTGTTCAGAGCAAATCATATACAGCCTTACAAATAAACGCGGTATAATAAATAACCATATATTGGTACAAATATTGCTTATACTCAGTTTATTCCGAAGTTAAACTTAACCGCGTTTAAGGCTGATAGAGTTTAGAGCATCCAAGATATATGAAAACTACACCAATTTCCTATTTTACTCACAAACTGAATAACTTTGTTCACACACCATGAGGTAGGCAGAAGTAACAAAAAATTAAATACGTCACTAATAACATTTGATCCTATTAAGGCGTTAATACTGCTTAAACTATGATACTTTTATATCGGTGATGTTATGCTAAATATATGCAATGATGGATACTTAAACTCGACAATGAGAGCATTTATATCTTATTACAAGCCTTTCAATGTTGGAGTTTCAAGCAAATGCGGCCTCAAACATTCCTTTTTCCTTAAAAGAATATTTTCTTAATGAAATACCTGAAATTTTGATACTGGTGTTATAAATCGTATTGGGCTATAATCGATTTTATTTTAATATTAGCTGTTCCTATGCGGCTTCATCCGCATGGAAAAATAAAAAAAATATTTTATTCTTTACATTTGTCAAATTATCAATTGCAAATGTCAAAATGACATAACATGACAAACCTTAGAAATCTTGCTACCTTTATGTTGGCAGTAACTTATGGTCTCTTTCCCACATTAGGGTTTTTATCCAAAATGTTTACCCCTAAGTTGAACGGCGTGAAAATATATAGCCTAAAGCGGGACGTAAGTGTAGGGCTTTTTATTAAAAAAAGAGTTATTCGAAAATATGCTGTGATTGCTGACATCTTAGGCAACAAAGAAGTTTGTGTTTACGCTTTATTATAATAGTATAGATTAGGCTGTTTACATACAACGGCGGATCCAGGAGGGGAGGGGGTCAAGTTCTTGACTTGACCATGACTATGTAACCCCCCGTCTGTTGCCAAAGCTGGGTCCGCCCTTGTTTACATATTACTGTTGTCTGATAATCATCAAGTTAGAATACAAAAAGGAGCATATTACGATAAAATATTAAAAATTTGTTTTGATTTTTTTACTATTTCCCCATTAGTGAAAAACACAGTAAAGGGTACACTTGTACATTTTGTAATTTGATTTTTAAAATCCGGCTTTTAAGGATTAAAATTAAAATGGATTATGTCTTAAACTCTTAAATTTTACATACAACTGTAAATATGTTATATACTGTTTTCAACATTTTTAGACCACATTTCCTTCGATAATATTTGACATTACTATATTTGAAGAAAATGAAAATGTCAAGGTTTGCCACTTTCTGTCACATTGAGTTGAAAATGTTACAAATCTCCACTAAGGGACCGCTTTCACTATTATACCCAAATGTGGCAATTAAACTGGGTTTAAGCAATTTCCCGTTCGATAGTCCCATTGGTAAAATTCCACAGCAAACATCCATTAAATTAAGTTGTTAAATTTAGCTCTAATCTAAGTCAATTCATATGATTATTATAGTCAATAAGTCTGTGCTTAGACACACTATATCACAGCCAATGGCCGACATTTGCACAATGAAACCTCCATATTCTTAAATAATTAATAATTATTACAATACCAAATCTCACAAGACTATTAATTGAATGAGGTTTTATATCCTTATAAGATTTCAAACTAGCTGACATTTAATTTTTTCATTGGTTATTTTGTTTGTTTTACAAGAAATAATTTAGCATATTGTATTTAGTAAAGTATAGTGTACCAGATAGATTAAGGATGTGATCTTTTGCCAATAAACCGTTTTTGGCAGTTTGGCGAAATTATTTATATGTAGTTATGACATGAATTAAAAAAAAAAACAATTAAACGCGCTATAAAGTTAAACTTAGGGATAAACTGAGTATAAGTGACTATTAGTACAAATTTTGAATATTCAGTTTATTCCCAAGTTAAACTTTATACCATATTTATTTGTAAGGATGTTAATATTACAAATTGCATAGCAACAGAAACCTGAGGCGCTAGTTATTAGCTATTTTATATGTAGGTAATGTATAAAACCTCATTTTATTAATATCAGTTTTAAATACACTAGACTAGTTTCTGTAGCATGTTTTTGTATCGGATACACTAGTTTTTTACATTTCAACTAAAACTATTTAAAAACCATGGGCAATGGTGCGTTATTTTGGCCAAATCGTTCGCCATTTTGTCACCTCATACTATAATATTTCATAGTTTTTATGTTTATTTTTAATTTTGAAGTATTAATTAGCTATGAATCCACCATGAAGGACTCTCAAGAAATTCTTCAGTACCTCCTCAAGTATATGTGAGTTCAGCGATGATTTTTAATTAGATTAAATATGAATTATTGTATTTAAAATTTTAACCCAGGGACTATTCATACAGTCATAGTATCAGTATTGTAAAGTTAATATTTTTGTATGTCAATACTTCACGATAATTTCAGAACAATACAAACACCTTAAGATCGCATTGTACAATATAAATGCAATTAGGAACTAAAATGTGAAAATATTGACATTGTATACATGATACATTTATATATTTACTCATTACAAGTTAACAAATCACGAGTTTCACATACTAAAAACCTCAGATTAAAATGACTTTAAACTTTTGTATCCAAACAGTTTCAGTTAATTACTTACCAGTTAACTTGACTTTCATTTCCACAGAATGTTGCACAACCAACAAAACTTTAAATATAAACACTATCACATTTAAAACTTGACTAAAAACTGTGTATCCGGTACAGAAACGCGTCCGCAAAAAGCGACCTAACTTAGCATTAAACTACAAAGTTCACTGTCACACAACCGGCGAGGTTTGGAACCGAGTCCTGGATCCCGCAGTCCCGGATCCCACAGTCCCGGAACCGAGTTCTGGATCCCACAGTTCCGGAACCGAGTTCTGGATCCCACAGTTCCGGAACTTAGTTCTGGATCCTGAAATCCCGGAATCAGTTCCTGGCGGAGTACCGCTTTACAGCGTCTGTGGCGTATGCTTCGACGGCTGCCGCTTCAGCCGCCTGCTGACGGGTCACTGTCAGTTGTTCTTGTCAATGTTGTGAATGGCCCAGTTGACGGACGCCTTCCACGAGTTCTTCACCGCCTCTATGAACTTTAGTCTAAAATGCTCCAACGCTTTCTCTTCTGATAAATCCATCACCTGAAATGTTACCATTGTCAGTTTAGTAAAGGTTCCGACAAAAGACATTTATAAAAACATATAGATGAGGCAAAGTGAACAAAATTTTTTCATCGGTACTTTTTCTGAAAGGTATTATCGGTTGTCAAGTTTAGTACGCCACCTCGTGTCTAATAGTGTCTAATATGGTAGACAGTGTTACAAAAAATACAAACATTTAAATATTATTCAATCAACACTTATTAATGACTAGCTGTTCCCATGCGACATCATCCGCATAAAATTATGAAAAAACTCATTTTATTGTTCACATTTATCAAATTATCAATTGCAAATGTCAAAATAACATGACATGATGTCAAACCATGGCAACCTTGCTTCCTTGATGTTGGCAACAACTTATAGTCTCTTTTCCACATTAGGGCTTTTATACAAAATTTTTTCCCTAAGTTTAACGGCGTGAAAATATATAGCCTAAAGCGTGACGTAAGTGTAGGGATTTTTATTAAAAAAAAGGAGTTATTCGAAAATATACTGTGATTACTGACATCTTAGGCAACAAAGAAGTGTGTGTTCACGCTTTATTATATTAGTATAGATTATTTGCAAATGTTTCAAGTGAAATGTCAACTATGCCATTCTACATATATTTGAATCTCTACTTCCAACATAAAATTGTATAGTGTATAAATATGTGTAACTGTGTGTCTTACCAATGTCTCCCTGAGGTACTGCAAGTCTTTCTCTGACCGCAGCTCGGGCAGGCCTGTGGAGATCATCATGGAGAACAGGGACAGGATCAGGTGGCCGTGCTTCCTCAAGATTTTGAATGCCTAACGAAGAAAAAATATTCATAACATTGTCAAAGAGGTTATAATAACAAAATTATGATACCATAGAACTTTTATGTTTTTGTAAGAACAGAGATACTCTATTTTGTATATTAGGTTTCACCCAGTACTTTATTTACGATAAATGAAAAAAAACTTACTAAGTAACCGATGTAGACTATATTCTACATCGAGATTCAAGTAGCCGTTCTGGAGAAACTGTCTAACATCTATACATTTGAACACGCATTTTTAACTATTAGTAAGATTTTTGTGTGGCATTTTCTAACACTTGTAGGGTGACCAAATGTTTTTATTTTCAATATATTTACCGTTTCACAATGTTCCTTGAATATTTTAAAGTCCAATGCCTCATTGACTCCGGAGGCGCGCTGGCCCTTGTTGATGACGTGTATGAAGTCGTGTGTGAGCACGAAGGGCACGCGCTCGCGCTTGAACCCGTACTTCTGCTTGAAATGGCCAAGGAAATGACCGAAATCGATGTGGAACAGCTGAAATTATTATTTCTAGATAAAACATCGATAAGTAATATTATTAACAAACATAATTGGTGTACTTGAAACATAGTAATAGATTTTTCTTGCAAGTAAATCAAATAGTTTTTTTTTTTAAAGAAAGAGCTACTTTGCTAAATTATAAAAAACGGAAATACTAAAAACAGATAGCAATTTTTTGAGTCCGTCCTCGTGAAATTACAAAATAAAAAAACATAGCCTATGTCACTTACAGATAAATACCTTTCTAATGGTGAAAAAAATAATTAAAACCAGCCTAGTACTTTTCACATGAATCCAATACATACAAAAAATACAAAGCTTTTCTATAGTATAGATTGGAATTATCTGACTGTCGCATTTACAGCCAAATACTGAAACGTCATTTAAATGTGTAACAGCGTCCACTATTAAATTCTAAATGTCTTTCAAATTTTAATCTATCAGATTGTAAACAGCGCTTACGAAGCTAAGATTCGTTTCAATATCTGTCGGTAGTCACGTTCAGTAAAGGTATTTAGCGTATATTTATTTTACTAAATGTACACTAAGTGAGATCCGTGAGAGCGTCAGTAACCGTCAGACCTGTCCGCACTTCTTGACCATGATGTTGTCAGGATGCCTGTCAGCGATGCCCAGCACGTATGTGGCGACGCAGTACCCCGCGCAGCTCATCGTAAACTCCTCCACCGCTTTATTGAACCCACTCTCACTAGGGTTCTGTTTACGGAGCCATTCTGTAATAAAACAATCGGTTAATACCAAAAAACGACCGCATTTTGATTAAACTATCGCACAACTGTTGTGCGATTTTCGAATCAGGTTAGTTCCATAGCTAAAACTCGAGTAGTAAGCCTCCATATAAGCATAGCAATTAAAGCGAGACTATATAGTTGTGCGATAGTTCAGTCAAAGGTTAGTTGTCTTGGGCAAGCTCTTATAAACAAACTATTTTGAGTTCATTTTAGTGTATAGCAAAGCAAACAAAATTGAGCTTTATACGAATGAGACAAGGTTTATTTGATTTCACACGCCTTTATGTTTGCTCGAAATTGATAAGGTAACTTTATAAAGTTTGTGTATGTATGAAGGTTTATTGTTTCAATCAATTATCCTGTCATTTTTTACATAATAGTCTATAGACTAATATAATCATAATTATTATGGAATAAACTGTTTTTTTAACCTGAGACAAATAAATAATGATAGTTATCTATAAAAATAATATACTTACGGAATAAATTGGCTTTATATATAGTGGAAGCGGCATTGAAGAGTGCGCTCTGCTTCTGTATGTTGGCGACAGTCTCCGCATCTTCCACCACCTCGATCATGCCCACCGCGTACTCCATAGATATGCAGTTGTAGGGGTTCAGTCTGCGTACATACATACATAAAGTAACACACATTAATAAAAATATAAACGTAAACCATAGACAATAAATGACTGATGAAATGTGTAATGTGTAAACAAAAATTTCGATTTCAATTGAATTCAACCATGCAAACAATTTCGAAGACTAGCTTTCGCCCGCGACTTTGTCCGTGTGGAATTAAAAAAACTAAAATTGAGTATGCGTTCTTTCAGACTATCCTCTACGTCTATAGCAAAGTTCATCGAAATCCGTTCAGCCATTTATTGTACAAACTCTAACAAATATCCATCCATCTAAACTTTCATATTTTCATTAGTATGAAGTATGATTAGTTGTTCAAAGTGATACCTGAAGTCGTATCCAGCGTTCTTCCAGAGGCGGTCCATGATGCGCAGCATCTGCAGCGTGAACATATCCTGGCGCAGGTCGTCGCCGATCTTCAGGATGATGCGGATGTCGGCGCCCGTGGGGTCCACGTTCTCGAACTCCAGCAGCAGCGGCCGCATCTTGCTGTCCATCACGCGGCACCGCTCCGGCCTGCGTCAACACATGTTGGCGATGCATTAAGCCTTTTTGACATATTTTTACCTTTTTCATAGAATTTTAAAATTAGAACGTAAGTTTTAATTTTTTTTTGTAAATAATTTTGCATTCTTCATAAATACAATGGTTGCTAGGCTGTTTGTTTATAATTTTCCCTTTTGTACATAAATTTTCATTTTAATTTCCTTCATATTCTCCGCGAGCTCCTCCTCCTTCCTGTTCGTATCCTTTTCAACATCCATGTTATTAAATCGTTAATATTTAACTTTATTTGATCAGATCATTCTAATGTACATAGTCTGGAAAAATACAGAAGCTAATTGCTAGTTTTTTTTCCGCTCAGAATAAGAGGCAGGTAAAGGTTAGTTGATAAATAACTAACGACCATTGTGGGCGTTGCTTCCCCAACTTGGCTAAATTTGGTGACCACTTACTCGTTTGCCATCTAAATATAAAAAACTAGCTTTCGCGCGCGACTCCGTCCGCGCGGAATAAAACAACAAAAGCAAGTAGCCTATGTGTTCTTCCAAACTATCCTCTACATCTATGCCAAATTTCATCGAGATACCTTCAGCCGTTTAGGTTACAAACTCTAACAAACATCCATCCATCTAAACTTTCACATTTACAATATTAGTATGATATATAAACTGACTTGATCTTCTTGCAGAGCAGGCTGGGCGTGAGCGGGGACACGAAGTCACAGAGCGTCTCCATGCAGTGCTGCTCCTGCAGGTGTTGCTGCAGCGCCGCGCGCGCCTTCGAGATCTCCTTCTTCTTGCGCACGCACTGGCTCGCCCCTGGAATGTATGGTTACATCTATATCTCTCATCATTATCTGAGGCACTACAGGCCTGGGCCTGGTCCAGTAGCTATATCTCTATACTAATAACATAAACACTTTGTTATATAGAATGTCAATTACAACATATTTTGAATAATTAGTTTTTTTTTTTTTAATTAAAAAGAACCATATTTTTACGACATTCTACAGACAATTTTCAGGCTATTTTACCGGGGTAGGTGATTTAAAAAAAAAACCATGCGGTAATGGGATAAAAAATATAAACAAAATTATCATTTTAACGGTAATTGTTTTGTCAAAGGCTTTCGTTATCATTTGTACATTTGTTTATTGACATTTTCAATTGAAAATTTCGCAAACGTAAACAATAAAATAAAGTTTTACATGGGTGGGGGTAGTTTAATTATAAAATACGTACATTTAAGTTTCTCGAGGCAGGTGATCTGTCGCATGAGCGTGTTGATGTGGTCCTGACATCCGCGGCAGTACGCCTCCAGCATCAGACCGAACCGCACCGACACCGCCGCCACGTGCATCTCCGAACTACATATACAATAAATATTTACTTTAATATCGACCAAATACTAAAACCTCTCTATGGAAGCGCCACTTATAATCTGACAGATGACAAAATTATAATGGAATTCAAGCATGGCCTCACTATTTAAGACGCTGTCACATATTTAAATACTACAGTACTCGGTTGTACATTATATAAAACACTAGCTGTTGCTCGCGACATCGCCCTCGCGGAATAAAAATAAAAAATAAAAAGCATAGTCCATGATACTCAGAGATAACGTAGTTTTTTGATGGTGCAGGAATTTTGTTAATCGGCCCAGTAGTTTTCTAGTTATATCAATACATACAAAAATACAAATATTTCAAAAACATGACCACCAAAAAACTGTAGTCTTTGTAGTCCAATTTTTGAATATGGAATAAACCAGTTTAGCAGATTTTTTTTTTAAATTTCTTCACACTGGATACTACCGAAAAAGGTAAAAATCTTGAGAAAAACTCATGAGTCCATTTAGATCTACTAATGGACATAATCCTTTCCTTACACCATTACACATATAAAAAGAAATAAATATTCAATTAACAGATAATAGTAAACAGTATTTCGACTGACCGTAAATGCCAGAATAGGAAATGTCCAATAGTCATGTTATTGTAGGCGCGTTGCAACAGGAAGACGGAGAGGTCGCACATCAGGTATGACTCGTGCTTCAGCGCCTGCACCAGCTGCAGCAAGTACAGCAGAAGATTCTCGTCCCTGGAATGAGGAACACCTTGTATGAGTACTGTGACGTCATAGCACTTTCATTTTATTATCACATGGTGAAAATTTCAATTTTAGTATACTTATAAAACACTAGCTGCTGCATGCGATTTCGTCTATGCGTTCTTCTACACACTCAGAGATAACAAAAAGGACCTAGTAGTTTTTGAGTAATTTCAATACATACAAAAATACTATTTCCTCTTTATATTAGTATAGATAAAGATAAATGTGGTTCATCTCTTCAATATACGAAGTCGTTCAATCGTTTCAATATAGAAATCTAGTTTTTTAGCTTTAGTTATAAATATATATAATAATTAGAATAAAAATAATGCCGATTTACGTCAATAACTAAAGATCTAAATACCGAATTCCGAATCGAATCTTTTGAGATTCGATTGAAAGTGTTTGCACTTTGCTTCGTAATTGCTGCTTACAATCTGTAAGGCGTCGACATTTTAATGTGATCAATTTAATAAGGTTTTCTTTGAAAATATTCCTTTATAAATAAGGCCCAATTTAATTTCCTGCTCCCCCCTTTTCTTATAATGAAAGTATTGGATGGGAAAGTGGGTTTGACGGTTGACGCATCAGAAGGGAAATCTCCTCTTCATGCGTCTCCTCCGTCGATTTAGAGTAGGCAATGTATCTGCAATTTCAGATGTCTATGGGCAGCGTTTCGCTTTGGTGGATTTAGGTAACTTTGCTCGTTTACCTTATTATATAAAAATAAAATCGAGACACCCTTTATGCAAATCATCTGCAATTGCGGATGTGTATGGTCAGCAAGAGTTATTGAAGGAGGAAGCCGAGTGGACCTGATGTGAGCGAGGCACTTGACGGCGAAGGCGCGCACGGCGGCGTCCGCGTACGCGTAGTCCAGCAGCTCGAGCGCGCACTCGACCTGCAGCAGCGGCCAGCCCGCCACCATGCGCGCCGCGCTCGCCGCCTCCGCGCGCTCGCCCCACTCCACGCACACCAGCAGCTTCGGCAGCAGCTCCGGCGCCTCCGCGCGGAAGTACTCCCTGGACACATCGCATTATTGGCTTACATCTCTATTTGCATACTAGCTATCGCCCGCGACTCTTCGCTACAAAATAAAAAACAAAAGTAAATAAGTGTTCTTCAAAATTATCCTTTACATTTATATTAAATTACATAGATATCCGTTCAGCAGTTGAGGCTACAAAAATACATTGCATTATTATGTCATCATATTTCTTAAAATATACCAACTATCGCCGACAACTCTCTCCGCTTGAAATAAAACAAAAGTAAATAACCTGTGTGTTCTTCCTGTACCTATGCCAAATTTCATCTAGATCCGTTCAGCAATTCAGGCTACAATTTCTAACAAACGTCCATCCATCCATCTAAACCTACGTTTTTTGTTATTTTTACAGTGGTAGAGTCCACTTTAATACGAACACGAAAGGGTCGGCTTGCCCGGTGCAATACCACAACCACACAGACAACAGCCGTAAAATGTAAGCAATTCTGCGTACATTCTGATGAAGGTACGTGCTCGTGGCCTAATTAGTCTCTTTCCCTTAAACTTACAATTTATTTATTTATTTACTTATTAATTAATTAATCAATTAATTTATTTATTTATTTATTATAAATAAAGTACAATATCGTCTTCTTTTCCTTCCTCTCGTTGGGTAGTTAAATTTTTTTTTGCATGCGACAGATACGGTATTAGGTACGTCATACAAACCTGGAAGCCCATATATCTTTCTTCTCCTGTTCGTGCATTTCATACATAGGGTCCTTCTCGGCAGTGAGCCGCAGCTGCTGGAAGTCGCGGCTGAGGCGCGCGATGACGTCAGGCGAGCCCAGCTCGATGTCGTCCGCGTACGCCTTCACCGTCTCCTGCTTCGGGAACAGTATCGGGTACTCACACTCGAAACTGAAACAACACTTGCTTTTATATAAGGAATATGGTGTTTTAAGACAAAAGGCGAAGTTGGGCGATCGCCCTGGGCGCCATTGTCGAGTAAAGGGCGTCACAGGAGCATAAAAGGGCGTCACAGATGCATAAACGGGCGTAACCAGTGTCTTGTTTCCTTATCGGTTTGTATTTCAGTTAGACGACGCCGTAGAAGCCTACCAAGGGCACTGATAATATTAAAACCGGCCTATTTTAGCATGTATTGTATTAAGGTAATGTATATCGCGATTACGTAAGTTTTTTAATTTTGTAAATTGAATTGTAACGGCCTAGAGACTAAACGACTAGAATCGATTTTGACGAATGAAATGTCAATTATTTCGTCTTCTTCTGCGAAGTGTCAACAACACGAAACGCCTGCAGTGTAAATTACATTTTATATTTAAAAAAAATAGTGATAAAAGCTGGTACGAATCTCACTTAACAATTTTTTTTAAAATATATTTTTAGATGTATTCAAGTATTCATTAGTTAGATTTAGTCAGTAAAATTTTATTAAATTAGATAATGTTAACTAATATGACACTTTTAAGAGCCAATAGCCTGATGGTTTGGGGCACGTACTACCGATCTTGCGATCGAGGGTTCGAATCCCGCCATTCGAACACAGCCTAGAGCTTATTTGGAATGGTTAAAGAAAATGAGAAGCAGCCAGCCTGCGTCAGTGTAGACACTCACTCTGAGAAGCAGACCTGCAGCGCGGCGCAGGAGTCGGTGCTGGGGTTGGAGACGACGGTGCCGAGGGGGTGCAGCAGCCAGTCGTCGCCCTGCGTCTCGTCCGCAACGTGCGTCCACATGTACAGCGTCAGCCCGCCCGTGCGCAACTGCTCCTTGTAGTCGAAGATCATCGTGTTCGCCCACGCCAGCTTGTTTATAGAATCCTACAAACAATAACTAGCTGGCTTGTTCGGCTTCATCCGCATCATACTATACCCCCCTGAGGGGTTCGGTAACCCTAAGTTCATCCGCATATTTTTTTTTATAAAAGAAGGGGCAAACGAGCACCGGAAACATGGAGATGTTCATCGACGCCCATAGACATCCGCAATATTAGATGAACTGCAGATGCGTTGCTTTTGAGGAGGTGATAAGCTCGCGTCTTGAAGGACCCTAAATCGTAGCGATTTGGAAATATCACCGAGGATTAAAATTAAAATGAAATTTTCAATTCAATTGAAATGCATAAATGACAAAAAGCCTTTGTTGTTGGACAACAATTACTGTTACCATGGTGATTTTAGTTTTTTGCTATTGGCTTGTAGATTTTGTTCCTTTCCCGCATCACATTTTTTTCTGATTTCACCTTCTAAATTAAATAACATGAAATAGCCTATAGACTGTAAGTGTAGAGTTTTTATGTTCAAATTATTCAAAAATATGCTTTGATTGCTGATATCCTACATAACAAAGTGTGTATGCTTTATTATATTAGTGTAGATGTTTTAAATTTGTTCATACCTTCGAGTCTTTCCCCCGTCTCTTTCCCTTGGTTTTATTTATTTCATAGACGACAAAGCACAGCCTGGCCATCCGCGGCATATTGTACACTTTGATGGGGAATGTGAGCAGCGCCTCATCCCACTCCGCGACGCCATTAGACACTTTAGTAACGACCGTCTTCTGAGCCTCGCACAGAGCTTTGCCTCCGTGAAATATACCCGCTTGGCACACAACCTGGTAGAAAATGTAATTAAATCATAAAAATTACAAAGATCTGCTTAAAAGACGACGATCATTATTTTAAACGACTCCACTAACTATAACTTTTGCTCGCGACTTCGTCCGTGTCACTTAAAAATAATAATAAAAAATATATAGCTTATATTACTCACAAGTAAATTAACTTTCTAACAGTGATAGAATTAAAATTGGCATAGTAGTCTTCGAGTTATTTCAATAATAATAAAAATACAAATATTTCATCATTATAATATTAACATAGAACATAACCATTCCATATAAATATTTAAGTATAATAATCTTAATTGATTACCACTGTAAAAGCAGCTATAGGTTGGAGTGAGATAACAAAAACATATTGCTTTCTCTCTCCCACCGCAGTATATCAAACTCACCTCAACTTGTCGTCCAGGGTCGATATTCAAACCCCTTACACTCTGCACCATACACGTGTAGTTCTTGTAAATATTCCACGACGACTCGTACTGGTTCTTTTTCTTGCGTATCGTGTTCGAATAGTCGGGGGGCGTCTGCCGCCTGTCTATCGGTATATCACAGCCGACTAAAATCAACATTTAAATGCTTACTGACGAACATAAATTATACAAGACGCGCGTATCCGACCATTGTATAGAGTTGCTTGTTCCACTAACGCGGTCATTAGTGGTATACAAATAAACAACCCAGCAGTATGACTAGTTTAGTGAAAGGAGACACTAGAAAACTATATCAACATCTTCAATACCATCCAGTTAACTCTATCATCCGTTATATCAACCACCTCTCCTTGATCATATCAGCTAACAAAACTAAATCTACATGTTTAATTACATAATGTAATTAGATTTATTTATTTAACAGTGGTAGAGCCCGCTTTAACATCTTCACACGAATGGGTCGGCTCGCCCGGTGGAATACCACGACCACGCAGAAAACAGGCGTGAAGTGGAAACAATTTCGCGTTTCGTCTGATGAGTGTGGTGCTGGAGGCCTAATTTTAGTCCCTTTCCCTTTCCACCCTTTACTTAAGAGGAAAGGATGGGAAGGAAAAGTGGATTTGACGGTGGAGACGCATAGGAAGGGGAAATATCTTTTTGTGGGTCTCCTGCTCCGTTAATTAAGGTTAGGCAACGCATTTGCAATTGCGGATGTGTATGTGCAGCGGTCGCTTTCAATTTCAGTGGATCCAGGTGGCCGCTTGCTCGTTTGCGCCTTAAATTATAAAAAAAAAATGTTCTACTTACGTGTCAACTTGTCCATACTGACTGTCATGACTTGAGGCACGCCGTCTTTTGCCAGCATCTCTTGGATGTAGAGGAACTGTATGAGAGGCTCCTTGCCGAACAGATACTCCTCCCTCCCGCATACCTTAAGCACGTAACTGCGAGGGTCTTCGCCCCGCATATTGAGGGAGTTCACTTTCTTCTTCAGTATAGTGTCGATGTGCTGCTGCGGCGTACGTGACACTGGCACGTTAGTCGTGAACGAAAACTGTTGAAAAACGAATCAAAACACCCACCGTTATGACAATTACAATTAAAAAAAAATCGATATCGTGTTTCAAACTCTTTATTTCATAAAAAAATAAGAAATATAGTGACATAACTGACAGTTGTCATAATCGCTGCCTGCTGACACTTGACTTATTATTGTTTTTTATATTTATAACCGTATTTCAAATCAAAATGCTGAAATCTCACTTTGACATCAGCCAGAGGGGAGGAACTGAGGAAGATTTAGTGGAAGAAGAAGAAGAGGAAGAAGTAGAAGAAGCGGTGACGAGGAGTGAGTCAAGCGTGGTAGATGAAGCTAAGAAAGTGACAGTTTTAAAGACGAAGCCAACATTCGCTGAGAGAAAACTCAACCGGTCCGAAGTGAGTGTTCGTCAAAGTCTGCTCGGAAAGACTGCGGATGGCGATGGGTAAGAAGACCTTTAAACCCCAATCGAGGTCCTTAATTCAATGAAATAGCTTGTTTTCTGTTCGTATACAGTATGTTTATAAAATTATAGGATGGAGGATTCCAAAGTCCAATATACACGGCCAATAAGTCAATCACTTTTTATTTCCAGTTACGCTTTCTTAAAAGCAACGTGTACAGGCATGCAATTAACCAACATAAGGGCTATCGCATCCTTCAAGCACTTGCAATTTGTCGACGTCTCTGACAACTTCCTTACTACCGAAGCTCTGCAAGTCGTTACTAAAATACCTTTCCTAGTACTAATACATGCTGATAAAAACCATTTAGATTCCGCTTATTTGAAGAAATCTAAATACTTACAAGTTATAATAATGAACAGTAACAATATATCATCTGTGTTTGATGTTTATCACCCCGAATTAAGTACATTAGAAGTGGGTAACAATGAGATTGCAAAAATCGACTTTAGAGACCGAATGCCTACACTCAGATGTTTAGACTTTCGTTATAATCGAATTTCGGATATATCCAACTTAAATTTCCCTAACTTGGACAGTCTTTACTTAGCGGGAAATAAGATAAGTAGTCTAGTTGGTATTGAGAATTTGGTTAACCTGCGTATCCTCCACGTTCGGAATAATCCGATAAAGTTATTGAACGGTTTTAATGCTGACCATACAAAACTCCAGTATATCAATCTACGAAACTGTAAGGTGATAACAATGATGCAAGTTAAGAAGTTACAGGTGAGATTCAAACAGTAACAAATTTGTCTTTTCCTGTTAAATAGCCACTAAAGGTCTGTTCACACACTTGAGCCTAGGTAGAGCAAATTTTTGAACTTTGGTTGAAACAAGGTTTAATATTCAGATCTTTTTATATTATTCTTGATAAGAAAAGAAGTGGAAAGTGAAATTAAACCTTGTTCCAATAATATAAAGCTCAATTTTATTTCATATTAGCTTTTGCCTGAGACTCCGTCCGCGTTGAATTAAAAAAAAAACAAAAGCTAGTAGCCTATATGACTTCCAGACTATCCTCGACATCTATGCCAAATTTCATTGATATCAGTTTAGCAGTTTAGGCTACAAACTCTAACAAACATCCATGTACATTTTCGCATTTATATTAGTTAGATAAAAACATCGAGCCTCTACCTCTGTCTGTAAGGACTCGAAGGGTTACGTTAGAGATTTAGTATAAGAAATCTCATTACAATAGAACCGCAATAAGTTAAAGTCCAAGGGAAACACAAAATATTCTAAGTTATAGAGGTTTTAAGTTATCAAGGGTCTATGTTATAGAGGTTTTGGACTCTGATGAGAAGGGAACATATTATTATTTGAAGTTATAGAGGTTTGAGTTATCGAGTTTCTCCTGTAGTTTTAATACATAATTTATTTTAGTGTTTGCCAGCACTGGAAGTTATAGTACTGAAAGGTTGCCCATTCATGGGTGGAACTGGTGAAGAGGGCACAGAAGTGGAAGAGGATGATAGTGAACTAAGAATAGAGGTGCTCGCAACATTGCCGAGATTGAAGAGGCTTAACAAAGGTGTATTCACACCAGAGGAGAGGTAGAAAATTAGTTTTGAATCTGTACTATTATTAAAAATAGTATGTATTGAAATAACTCAAAAACTACTTGACCGATTTCAATAAGTCTCACACCATTAAAAAGCTACATTATCAGTGAGTAATATAGGCTATGGTTTTTATTATCTTTTTAATTTCTCGGGCACAAAGTCAAAGGTGACAGCTTTTATATACAAGATCTGTACTTTTTAATGTTTTTATTTATTTGTTTATTTATTTATTTACACTTGTACACAAGGAAAACAATTACAATAAATACATAATGAACGTTTTTTACAATTTAATTAATTACTGTTATTAAAGTTAATAATTGAATCATTTATATCATAAAGTTAAACCCTTTTCAGGTCTGAAGCAAAAAATCTTATGGTACAAATACTTGAAGAAGGTGAAAATGCTGCTGAAGAAGGCAGCGAAGAGGCTCTTGATGAAGACACAAATGATATGTAATTGTCTTAATAAGTCCTGCTAACTGATCTTTCAAGTTTGTTAATAATTGTGTCATTAAATGTGTTTTACTCATAAATAAAGGACTTCACAAACACACATGTTTTATTTATTTTTGTGTTTTATATATTCTCAACTTATACTGTAATAAAAGTCTATATTTTTTTAATAATCAATAAACTAAATAGATATTTCCACACAAATTAAATGCATACTAACAATGGTAACATTTATTAAAAAATCATGATTTGACAAAATCATTATCAATTTTACATATAAATGATGAAATGCGTTTTTTTTTCATTTATCATTTTACAAATTCATAGCAGAGTTAGGGCCTAACCCATCACGAGCTTATAGAGAAATAGCTTAAAAATGACGTCAATGTCAGATAAGGGAACAAAATCCAATATCTCCATAATATATTGTATTATTACCAATTTACAATTTTGTGGGACAGGCCATTAAAGATACTCTCTTTTTAATTAAGCACTTACCTCTGTGTAACTTAGGTAATCAATATAAAATAATTATTGTTCAAATGACTTGTAAGTGTTACGAACACAGGCAGGCTTGACTAGCCTTGGCAAACACCTACACCAGATTCACTCTAGTCTTGTGCACTCTGCCTTTTTGATTATATTTTTTTAATAACATCCACTTACCTCCGTATTAGCAACTTTGGTGACAAGTATAAAACAATTATTATTCAAATGACTTGTAAGTGTTGCGGGCACAGCCGGGCTATCTGCCAGTCTCGGCGGACATCTATACCGTAGTCTCTCTAGCCTTGTGCTCTGTGCCCTTTTGATCATACTCTCTTCTGCGAGGTACCGCATCCGCATCCGAAAGTCATTTACTTCCGAACTTCTCAGATTGTCAAATTCATTTAAACCTAAAATAGCATATTGATTAATTTTAAATTAATAATAAATAAATGTGTGAATAATTTGTTTCATTCATAAAAAAATAGATCTTGCAAAATCCATATTTGCCTAAAATTTTACACAAATCTAAGATTATCTATATTACAATTGTTTTTTCCTGTTAATGCAAATATAGACTTACTTACAGCAAAAACAGATTAAACAAAACAAAAATGCTGATTCATGGGATTTTTCAAAGTTTTTTCCTGTTTTGAATATTTTACAATCATATAAACAATTTATTCTCTGCAGTAAGTAATGATAAAATGTATATTGACTCACCCTTTCCTATCAAATTACTGATGTGTGTGTTCAACAAATGCTCTCCAGGCCTTTCAATTGACCTTTCTATTATTAGGAGAACCCCACAAGAAGGTTTTATGTCTCTTAAGCGTTTATTCTCATCATCCACTTCTTCAGTAACTGCTAAAGAATTGATGAACTGGAAAACATATCCAGTCATCTCATGTAGCATCCCAAATAGAGGATACTTCCCAGCTTGATCCCATAATTCCTGAAATGATAGATGATTAATGAATGCATGATTATCAGGGGAGGCAGACTGATTATCAAAGGGAA